AAAAAAAAAAAAAAGTGTCCTCACAAAATCAGTATGTGGACCCATAGGCCACAGGTTGGATGCCCCTGCTGGGTATTCTATAAGGGGTAACTGCTGTTTTTGTTTATTATCTGCATTAGTGGTTCTCAGACTGTGGTCTCTGGACCAACAGTATCAGTATCACTTGGGTACTTGTTAGAAATGCGTATCCTTCAGCCTCACCTAGATGGTCTGAATCAGAAACTCTAGGGGTGGGACTCAGCCATTAGTGTTTACACACCTACAAAAGATGCATGCTGAAGTTTGAGAACCTCTGCTGTCTCAAACGACTGAGAGAGTTTTATATGCTATCACTTCTTCTGAGCCTCAGTTTCCTCAGTGGAGGTGACAAATTCTCCCACTTCACCATAGTGGTGTGAGAAATAAATTGGAAATCTTGTGCAGATGGTTATCTAGTGATACTTCCATGTTGTAAGATGAATTACCTTCTAGGATTGATAAAAGAATAAAAAAATAGGCTCTAACCCTACAGCTCAAGCGGCTAAGGCACCAGCCACATACACCAAAGCTGGCATGTTTGAATCCAGCCCGGGCCTGCCAAACAACGACAACTACAACAATAAAAACAACAAAATAGCTGGCAATAGTTTGAGGCTCTGTCCACCCCCCCAAAAAAAAAGAATAAAAAATCCTTATATCATTTCTTTGTTTTAAAAAATGTGTTTTTTTTGTCTTCCTTAATTTATCTTTTAAGTGACTCTAAGAGAAAACATAATGAAACAATCTACAAAGAATGCATGGCACACAGTAAGACTTCAACAAATGTCAGTCCTGGCCTACTCTGCTTTCCCTTTCACATAAACTGTGTAGAACAGAGGTACTATAGACAGCATCGGGATGCATAAGCAAGAAATGAAATATACATGAAATAAATAAATAAATAACACACATTTCCATAATGTATGAAGCTTTAGGGCTATGTATTTTTTTTTGCAGTTTTTGGCCAGGGCTGGGTTTGAACCAGCTACCTCCGGCATATGGGGCCAGCGCCTTACTCCTTTGAGCTACAGGCACCGCCCTGTATTTTTTTTTTTTTTTTGAGACAGAGCCTCAAGCTGTCCCCCCTGGGTAGAGGGCCGTAGCATCACAGCTCACAGCAACCTCCAACTCCTGGGCTCAAGTGATTCTCCTGCTTCCGCCTCCCACATAGCTGGGACTACAGGCGCCCACCACAATGCCCGGCTATTTTTTGGTTGTAGTTGTCACTGCTGTTTGGCAGGCCCAGGCTGGATTCTAACCGGGCAGTTCGGTTGTATGTGGCAGATGCCTTAGCTGCTTGAGCTATAGGCTCCAAGCCTAGAGCTGTGTATTAATCTAATTGCAGGACGAGTCCTAAGCGAAGAAAATACTCTGCCATTTTTTTATTCCAAGTGCTTACCGGACTTTGTTTGTTCAGCTCTAGTTTGACACTGGAGAGAAATCATTCCTGC